CGACTGGCCCAAAGTCTCCACCACAGTAACTAGAGTGGATGTGCTTCTGCCACAACCAGAACCCCAAACCAGAGCAGAATTCCTACGTCACCACCAGCAAGTCACACTGGATCCAAACACCGTAAACATGCAACTGGTTTTGTCCCACGGCAACAGAAAAGCTACCTACAGAAGTGTCAAACAGGCGTACCCGAGCCACTCGGAGAGGTTCGGCAGGTCTCAGGTCCTGAGTAGAGAAGCTCTGACAGGTCAGCACTACTGGGAGGTGGAGTGGGTGGGGTTGGGAGCCCACCTAGCAGTCGCTTACAAACGTGTTCCCCGAGCAGGAGAAAGTAGTGAGTTTGGCAACAATAAGGAATCCTGGGCGTTGCTGTGTTCAGACAGTCAGTGTGGATTCAGACACAACAGCACCAGAACGTCCATCTCTGGGCTCCGGTCCAAAAGAGTAGGAGTGTACCTGGATCACAGAGCAGGGTTCCTGTCCTTCTACAGCATCATGAGTCTACTCCACAGAGTCCAGACCACATTCACTTAGCCGCTACACGCTGGGCTCAGAGTCCATCACTCCCTCCGCTCGGAGTCTACGGCCATGTTCTGTGTCCTGGAATAGAACACAGTTCTAGAGCCTAACGCTTAAAGCTCCGGGGTCTCATTTATCAAACATGGCGTAGAATCCTTACTAAAACTGTACTTCAGCTCAGCAAAAAAAAGGTACTAACGCCAAGCAGGTTTGTGATCTATCAAACATGGAGGATGCACAGCTCCACACAATCTCCGCTTCATAAATCGGAGACTAACGAGAATGTTTCTCAGCTGCTTTTTAGTCACATCCCGCCCTCACCACGCCCACTTACTGCCATAAATGGTCAATGCAAAGTGCCTTGTGGATCTCATGCATATACATAAGCCGGCTGTTGCAGTGCTCAGCCAATGACATGGCGACCGTAGATCAAGACAGATCAAGGAAGCGCTACTTCACACAAGCAGAAGTTGAGGTACCTGTGGGTGAGGTGGAGAAATGAAAGGAAGTGCTTTTGCAAAACAAATAAGAGAAAATCCACGGAGTGGCACAGCGTTGCTGAAGCCGTCAATGCTGAGTTCTTCAGAGAGATCTGTGGCGGATGTAAAAAAAATGTCTGATCAGGATTCGATCCCCAGACCCCCAGGTGAAAATCACACACGCTAACCAGTCACCCAAACAGAGATCTGCCTTGGCCAAGTAGCCAGGTCTTGTTCTGTGTGAAAACGAAGTGGTACAAGTGATGATGCTGCAGGATTTCATAATTGTATCTTCTCAGCAGCAGCACTGCAGGTGCTCTCCATGTCCAACATGTGCGTAAGCCAGGTCCTTAGTCAACTTAAAGTTGCGCACATTTTTCCGCAAAGTTTTCTTTCATAAATCCCAAAGTTTGCGTGGAAAGTTGCTTACGCAGTTTTCCGACCCTGTTTTGTGCGTAAGCAAGCTTTATAAATGAGGCCCCTGGTTCCCATAGTAACCATGTGACTCGTGCATGCTGAACATGAGAACGCTCTCCACCCCCATCTCCTGCTTTAGCTGCAGACAGGACCCCATTAATGACCCTGCCCACCTTGACTTGGGACCTCCCACAGTAAGGAGACGGCAGAGTGCACCTCAGCTAGTAGAAGCTAACCATTAGCAGGTTATTGCAAAGCCAAGAATCATGAAGATCTCCACTAAGGTTCTGGTGCTTTGGGAGACAATGTTAGCTTACAGGATGCTGATGTCACCGATCTGAAGCCTGCAGGACGCTGATGTCACCGATCTGAAACCTACGGGATGCTGATGTCACCGATCTGAAGCCTACGGGATGCTGATGCCACCGATCTGAAGCCTACGGGATGCTGATGTCACCGATCTGAAGCCTGCGGGATGCTGATGTCACCGATCTGAAGCCTGCGGGATGCTGATGTCACCGATCTGAAGCCTACGGGATGCTGATGTCACCGATCTGAAGCCTACGGGATGCTGATGTCACCGATCTGAAGCCTACGGGATGCTGATGTCACCGATCTGAAGCCTACAGGATGCTGATGTCACCGATCTGAAACCTGCAGAACGCTGATGTCACCGATCTGAAGCCTACAGGATGCTGATGTCACCGATCTGAAGCCTGCAGGACGCTGATGTCACCGATCTGAAGCCTACAGGATGCTGATGTCACCGATCTGAAACCTGCAGGATGCTGATGTCACCGATCTGAAGCCTACAGGATGCTGATGTCACCGATCCGAAGCCTACAAGATGCTGATGTCACCGATCCGAAACCTGCAGGATGCTGATGTCACCGATCCGAAACCTACAGGATGCTGATGTCACCGATCTGAAGCCTGCAGGATGCTGATGTCACCGATCTGAAGCCTACAGGATGCTGATGTCACCGATCTGAAGCCTGCAGGATGCTGATGTCACCGATCTGAAGCCTACAGGATGCTGATGTCACCGATCTGAAACCTACAGGATGCTGATGTCACCGATCTGAAGACAGGATGCTGATGTCACCGATCTGAAGCCTACAGGATGCTGATGTCACCGATCTGAAGCCTACAGGATGCTGATGTCACCGATCTGAAGCCTGCAGGTTGCTGATGTCACCGATCTGAAACCTACAGGATGCTGATGTCACCGATCCGAAACCTGCAGGATGCTGATGTCACCGATCCGGAGCCTACAGGATGCTGATGTCACCGATCTGAAGCCTACAGGATGCTGATGTCACCGATCTGAAGCCTGCAGGATGCTGATGTCACCGATCTGAAACCTGCAGGATGCTGATGTCACCGATCTGAAACCTGCAGGATGCTGATGTCACCGATCTGAAACTTGCAGGATGCTGATGTCACCGATCTGAAGCCTACAGGATGCTGATGTCACCGATCTGAAACCTACAGGATGCTGATGTCACCGATCTGAAACCTACAGGATGCTGATGTCACCGATCTGAAACCTGCAGGATGCTGATGTCACCGATCTGAAACCTGCAGGATGCTGATGTCACCGATCTGAAACCTACAGGATGCTGATGTCACCGATCTGAAGCCTGCAGGATGCTGATGTCACCGATCTGAAGCCTACAGGATGCTGATGTCACCGATCTGAAGCCTACAGGATGCTGATGTCACAGATCTGAAACCTACAGGATGCTGATGTCACCGATCTAAAGACAGGATGCTGATGTCACCGATCTGAAGCCTGCAGGATGCTGATGTCACCGATCTGAAGCCTACAGGATGCTGATGTCACCGATCTGAAGCCTACAGGTTGCTGATGTCACAGATCTGAAACCTACAGGATGCTGATGTCACCGATCCGAAACCGGCAGGATGCTGATGTCACCGATCCGAAGCCTACAGGATGCTGATGTCACCGATCTGAAGCCTACAGGATGCTGATGTCACCGATCTGAAGCCTGCAGGATGCTGATGTCACCGATCTGAAACCTGCAGGATGCTGATGTCACCGATCTGAAACCTGCAGGATGCTGATGTCACCGATCTGAAGCCTACAGGATGCTGATGTCACCGATCTGAAACCTACAGGATGCTGATGTCACCGATCTGAAACCTACAGGATGCTGATGTCACCGATCTGAAGCCTGATGGATGCTGATGTCACCGATCTGAATCCTGATGGATGCTGATGTCACCGATCTGAAGCCTACAGGATGCTGATGTCACCGATCTGAAGCCTACAGGATGCTGATGTCACCGATCTGAAACCTACAGGATGCTGATGTCACCGATCTGAAGCCTACAGGATGCTGATGTCACCGATCTGAAACCTACAGCATGCTGATGTCACCGATCTGAAACCAACAGGATGCTGATGTCACCGATCTGAAGCCTGCAGGATGCTGATGTCACCGATCTGAAGCGCTCATGGACTAACAACCAGGAAGTGGATCCTCTGACTCGGGATCAATAAACGAGACTGTTAAAGACACGCTGACCTAAACATCATTCTGAGTTTTGTGGAAGAAGGCAGCAGAGGAGTCATGAATCTTATAGCCAATCAGAGGTGAGGCGTTTGCATCTCATGAATATAAATAAGGCACACACACACACACCAGAACTATTACTGCTGAGAAAACGACTCATTCAGTGCGTTTACATGCAGCCAGTAACCCTTTTAAAACCCGAATATTCACAATAACCCGGTTCCGCAGGTCCTTGTAAACACCGCCAAAAACCCGGATATGCTCATAACCGGGTTTTTAAAAACCCGGTTACTACATTCACAGAGACTGCAGCAGATTTAGTAAAGAAATACGTGAATGAGACATTTATAATATTAAATCTAGGAGTTTTGTCCTTTTGGTCAAATGTTCTTTTTGGTGTAAAACAGGAAGTCTGAGCTCAGTATCTGTAAAAATGACGAGTTGGACTCCTACATGTTCATCCGGTGGAGATATTTTGACCCATCATTTAACTCATGAGTCAAACCACTAAATGAGCCTAAAATCATCAGAATTTTGTGGCAAACGTTTAAAAATTGTGCAACTGAGCAGTTTTTTGTGCTTCTGAGTGACGATTAAATATTCCAACATGGTGTTGGTTTGATCTCCTGGCATTTGGATCTGACAGACTTCAGCGCTCCTTTCCACAGTTGTAATGAGCTCCACCAGGTCAAACTGGTCATGTCCTGCAGGGCTGCCCCGTCTCATGCAGGAGGTGGGAGGGGCTGTCCGTGATGGATGGACTACATCTTCTCCAACCTGCTTGTGGGACATCAGAGGACAGAGCTGGTCCTCCTGTCTGGTCTGCTTAGCTTCCGGTTGATCCACCAGGTGAAGGAGAAGAGCCGTTCCTCTTCAAGGATCTCAGCTGCCTCGGCGGGTGGAGACGACTGGGAGACCGACAAATACGCTGCATGAGAAGAGCTTTAATGTAAACGAGCAGCTTTCATTTCACATTTCAAAACAAACAAGATTTTATCTGTTTATCTAAACATTTTATTTACACAAAATGAAGACCAGTGTCCATCAGAGTGGAAACCTTAAATGGGAAAAGACAAAAACATAAACTTAGGTTTGGTTAGAAAAACCTCAGCAGCTCAAAAGGTTTCAAAGGTTCTGGTTCTGCTGCGTGGGACGAGAACATCTGAGAACACAAGACCAGACTTTCCTTTGGCACCAGTGTTCATGAATCCAGTTTTTCTGTTTCACACACCGCAGGTACCCGGCTGAAGCACCCGTATTCTAAAGACCGACCTGGACCGGAACCAGAATAAAACAACTCTGTATCCAGTACGTCTTCAAAAGAACTGCTCACTGATGTAGGAGCTGTCTGGGTCCACTCAGAACCGCCTTCACTCCAGCAGCAAAACTCCTATAAAGGTCCGGATCAGTTCAGAACCATGAACAGGGCTGTGGACAAATCTGGCTCATCCCTTGAGTTAGAGGCCTTTCTCCATGTCAGAAATGTTCAAGAGCTTAAATGTTTTAGAACCAGGACCAAAAAGGTCCAAAACCACACAGAAAAGGGTTCTGGAGACCCGATAATCCAGAACCAGATAAAGGACTACAGGAAGAGAAGAGGCCGGGGTCTGGGGTTTAGCTCTGAGGTCCAGCTGTGTGTGAGGAGTAAGACCAGGACCAGAACCGGCTCAGAGAGCAGCCAGCTCCAGCAGCAGCCGCTCCTTCTCTCTCTGCAGCTCCTCCACGCTCTGCCGGTTCTGGTCCAGCCGGTCCTCCAGCCACTGCAGCAGCGGGCCGCTCACCGCAGACATCTGGCTGCACAGGTTCTTGGTGAACACTGAGCCGTTGTGGATCTTGGTGACCGGGTCCAGGTGGGACAGGCTGTGGATCTTGCGGTACGTGTCCTGCTCCTCCTGACACAGGATCCGCGGCAGCTCCACGGCGGACTCCAGGCACACCTTCCCGATGGCGTCCCGAGGAACGACGTGCACCGGGATCTCCACCCGCTCGTACTCGGAGCCCTTCTGCGCCTGCGCGGACTGGAAGCAGGTGTACAGAACCCGACCCGTCTTGGTGTTCTTGTCCTCGATGAAGCAGGAGAAGATGAGGCCCACGAAGCACTGGTCCAGCATCTGGTACATGGCCTGGGTCCGCACGTCCACGTGGGACGGCCACACGGTGATGTGCGGGTGGGAGTGGTACCAGCCAACCACCCGCATCGGCTTTCCGGTGGTGTCCGCCAGCCGCTCCGCCTCGGTGGAGGCGGCGGACAGCTGCTCCGGGGAGATCTCCACCCGGTCCTTCCTCTTGTCCGAGCGGCGGAGGATGATGACGGAGTAGATGTGGACGATCCGGGACACCTCCACCTCCCCGATGCACAACCCCATCACCTCCTCCTTCTCCGTGCTCAGCGCGTGGTTCATGCACACCAGGAAGGCGTCGGACTCCAGGTGGACTGCGCTCACGGCCATGGTTCCGACCCGAGATCAAGTTCTGACTCCAGAGAAGACGGAAACAAACAACACAGCTTCACTTCCGTGTTCCTCCTGCTTCTTCTGTGGTTCTAAGCGGAGGTGTAGCACCGCCGCCCCCTGCTGGTCTGTGTGTCCACTGCGGCCCCGGAAGTCATGTTTGCCTGAAAACGGTCATTTTCTTTTGTTTACATGTTCTATAAACTTTTATGTTTGAAAATATATTTTTACTTTTCATTTTATCTCATAAATGCATGTTTGATTATTGTCTAGTGATTACAGAGACCCGCTGAAATGCTCCAATCAGCTTCCTGCACTGAAACATTTCTGTTCAGAGGGTGGAGGTGGTGGGACTACATCAAGGATCAGCAGAGGTAAAGCTAGAGAGGTGGAGATGTGGACTGGAAAAGAGAGGAAGCTAGACTTTTTTATTTATTTAAATATATTATTCAAACAGTCAAAGACATACAAATATGGAAAATAAAATAAAAAAAGATGTAATACATACTCAAGAGAGTAAAAAGAAAATAAATAAACAGAAATGAAGTAAACACAAGAGTAATTAAACAAGTACATTAAACAGCTTACAAGTATTCAGAGTTTTAACTGCTTTTTTTGTTCTGTACACAAGAAATGGTGGATATATACTGTTCCAGTTCTGCTCTTAGCACAGGAAAAAAGGGTTTTTTATTACAGAATTTAGATTTATGGATATGGAACTTAGCAACAAATAAAATCAAGTTTATCAGAAAGAGTGCATCATTATCTTTACCACTGCCTCCAAAACAACCAAAAATGAAGTTTTTATAGTACAGGGAGAAATCAGGAAGAATGTTGTGAGTTAAGAATGAATTGACGTCTTTCCAAAACTTGTAAGTAAATTCGCACGTCCAGAATAAATGTGAAGTAGTTTCAGGGTGTAAGTTGCAAAATGAACACTTTACATCAATATCCTTCTTAAACCTACTCAAACATACCTTCGTGGGGTAAAACCTGTGTAGAATCTTAAAAGAGATTTCTTTAATTTGATTGGTTAAAAGAAACTTCTGTGGTAGGGACCAGACTTTTCCCCAGTCTACGTTATGTCCAAACTTGTCCCAATAGACAGTTGCAGATGAAATAGAGACCAAGTCAACCTGAAATAAAGATCTAATTTTGGAGTTCGATGTTTTATAGGTAGAAAAACAGACTTTGCCTAGTGGAAGCAGAGTTAGATCCGAAGGTGATGCTGATAACGGAGGACAGAGACGAGCCGTCTTAAATAACATACGAAGACCTGAGGGCACAGCATCAAATATTATAGAAAATTATTTTGGGCTTTTTGGAATTTTATATTTGGCAAAAAATTCTGAATAACTGTATAGCAGTCCATTCTCATTAAAGAGCTGACTGACTAGTATAATACCTTTGTTTAACCATTTTTCATAAAAAAGAGACTTGTTCTTATAGACAATATTATAGTTGTTCCAGATACAACATCTCTGTGGAGAGAAGTTGTGCTTGTAAAGCAATGCCCACGCAAAAAAAACCTGTTTGTGAAAGTTGGAGAGTTTAATTGGAATTTTCTGTATTTTGTAATTACAGAGCCGAATAAATTTTAGGCCACCTAATTGTGAAAAGACATGATGAGGGATGAAATTCCATATAGAAGTAGGGTTTTTGAGATATTGCTTGATCCAATTTATTTTAAATGTATTATTGAGGGAGCTAAAGTCTATAAAATTTAAGCCCCCTTTGTTGTATGAATTTAAAACTACAGACTTACGGATGTAATGAGTTTTTTTTTTCTAGAGAAAATTAAATAACATCTTGTCAAAAGATTTACAGAAGGAGTTATCTACGTGTAATGATTGAGCAGCATAAGTTAAAGAGAAATGCCTTCCGCTTTGGTGATCAGAACTCTGCCTTTTAGAGAAAGATCTCTTTGCGTCCACCGGCCGGTCGAAAACCTTCTGAGTTTTTTCAATGAGGGGAAGAAAGTTTAACTTCCCTCTGGCTTCTCTATCTTTAGTGATATGAAAGCCGAGATAAGTGACTGAGACTTTTACAGGAATATTACAGATTACAGGAGCAGAGCAATTATGCACTGGCAGCAGTTCACATTTGTTCAGATTAAGGATGAGGCCAGAAGCTTTGGAAAAACAACAAATAAGGTTAAGTGCAACTGAAACCTGTGAGGCATCTGCCAGAAACAGAGCTGTGTCATCCGCCAACTGACTAATTAAAATATGATTATTAGCGATACTAATGCCTTTAATGTTACTGTTTTTAATGTGCAGATTAAGGAGTTGGGCAGCAAGAAGAAACAGATAAAGAGAGAGGGGGCACCCTTGCCGTACTCCCCACTTTAAATCAAACATTGGGGATGTGCCATTGCTTAATTTGATAGAACTATTTCCATTATTGTACAAAGTTTGGACAGATTTACAAAAGAACTGACCAAAACCAAACTTTTTTAGGGCTTCCATTATAAAACCATGCTCCAGGCAGTCAAAGGCCTTATAGAAGTCCAAGAAAAGGACAAAGCTATCATCATGAACTAACTCAGAATAATCTAATAAATCTAATATCAATCTAACATTATTTGAAATACGTATGTCTATTACGCATAAACCCAGACTGACTTTCATCAATAATAGTCAAGCACTGATTTCAGCGTCTTAGCAAGTATCGTTGCAAAGATCTTATAGTCATTGTTCAGTAAAGAAATAGGTCGCCAGTTGTCCAGTAGGAGGCAGTCTTTCTTTGGTTTAGGAATGAGAGCAATTCATCCTTGAGTTGATGCAGGAGGTAAGGAGCCTTTGAAAACACTCTCAACAAAAACTTCCTTTAAAAACGGAGCTAGGCTCTGAGAAAATTGCTTGTAAAATTCTGCAGTAAAGCCATCCGTTCCAGGTGATTTGTTTGTTTTTAGCTGGTTAATAGCATTAGTAATTTCCTTCAGTGAAATAGAGGCATCACACAAGTCGGATTCAGCTTCAGAAATCTGATTAATATTAGGGATAGAATTAAAAAAGGTAGAAGCTTCCTGAGAGCAATATCTTGAGCTGTAAAGATCACTATAAAACTTGGCGCAATACTGAGAAATTTTCTTTGGGTCATCAATGATTGTTCCATCAATTCTTAATTGCTGAATGGAGTTAATTCTAGATTGCTGCTTTTCTAGGCTAAAGAACTATGTAGAGTTCTGCTCGCCCTCTTCGAGCTATTTGCGGCGAGATCTAACAAAGGCACCTTGCGCTTTTCGTTTATATATCTCATCTAACTTGAGCTGCTGATGGGTAAGCTCCAACTGTTGTGACTCAGTGAGTGCATCTAATGACTTAGAAGTTAGGAATGCAATTTTAAGTATAGTGTCATTTTCCTCTAATCTCCTTTTTTTTAGCTAAATCACTACTATATTTTCTAAGAAATTTCGCAATTTCGTACTTCAATAACTCCCAGTTAGTGCTAAAGAGATTTTCATTTTGAGCTTTGTCCCAATATAGTCGAATGAAACTCTCAATCTTAGAGGTCACTTCCTTGTGTTTAAGGACTGTACTGTTTAATTTTCAATAAGAGGTTTTAGGAGGACCAGGAGAAAGAGAAGGAATGATAATTTGAATAGTCTTATGATCAGATAGGGGTGCTGGTAAAATATTTGTAATCACATTTTTCAAATCCTTGGATATAAGCCAGAGATCAATGCGAGACTGCTTTGATAAAGTTTTGTTGCTCCATGTATATGACTTCTGTAGCGGGTGAGTATCTCTCCATGTATCAGTTAAATCAAAGCATTGTAAGAACGTCTTCACATACATATTATAGGAGTCTTCATTCCTTGAAGGCAGCCTATCCAGGCGATTACTTAGTACAGAATTAAAATCCTCGCCTAAAACCATAGAAGCTTTTGGGTATTTAGATAACCAGTAAAGGAGACATTCTTCCAAATTATCAAAAAAAAAAAAAAAAAAAAAACAACAACAATGTTCTCTGCTTGAGAATTGAAGCCATAAGCATTAACTATAATATAACGTACACCGGCAACCTCTAGGACTAGCAATATGTAACGACCGGTTTCGTCACATTCAGAATTTAAAACTTTTCCACTGAAGCAGTTTTTCAAAATACAAACACCGGCTGAACGCTCTGACCCATGAGACAGCCACAGGTCGCCCCCCCACTGTGATTTCCAGAAGTTGGTGTCCTGTTCAATTGAATGTGTTTCCTGTACAAAACAAAAGTCAGTATTAAGTTGTTTGCAGTATAAGAATATAGCCTTTCGTTTTAGATGGTTTCTCAAACCTCTTGTGTTTAAAGAGATAATAGACAAAGACATAAGGAAAATAAACAAAGTACAATAACAAGACCAGAAAAACTAGCACGTATGCGAAAATAGATAAAGGTCTCAACAAAGCACCAACATGGGTCTGAGAACAGCAAACCTTATAAAAGATTGTGAACATGTGCTACCAAATTCAAACAGGCTGTAAACATTACAAAAATGTCGCTTAGCTAGGAAAGTCTATTCAGCGTCTCAGGGAGGAAGAACTTCCTTTCCGCCCACAAAGGTGCGACCACCAACATAGAAAGCCAGCTTGCCATCTTTCCGCGCCTGGTCAACAAGGGGCCACAGCTTCCTCCTTTTCTCTCTGTCCTCTTCTGACAAGTCCTCCACCAGTTTTAAGCTCTTGATCTTCAGGAAAGTGGAGTTTTTGGCGGAGCGCCACACAGCATCACGGTAGTACCTGGAGATAAAACGTATGACGACTCCTCTTGGTTGATTAGCACCGGGCTTCCTAGGGCCAAGGCGGTGAACGACATCGATGGCATCCGGAAGCTTGGTTTTGGCCTTAGGGAGCAGACCCTGGCATATGTGAATAATCTCTCGTCGTAGATCCTGCTGATCCTTCTCTTCTAAGCCATGGAGCTTGAGATTCCAGCGTCGGGAGTAAGCCTCGAGCTGAGAGACACGCTGCTCTGTCTTATCAGAATTAACTTTGCAATCTTTAAACAGAGTTTCGCAGCGGTCAACTCTCCCTTTTACTTCAACACAAACAGCATTAAAGGATTCTTTAACATCCGCAATTTGCTTGGTGTTTTCT